TATTAAATAACAAATTGAAGTCAAATGACCCGAGGTTATTTTAAGTTAGTAGTGTGCATGTCAGTTTATAATGAGGTTGTACGATTTACATGGTGTGTCCAAAAAGTGTTAACTAAAAATCATCAATCTTCAATTGCTACCACATTTTTCTTTGCACAAAAAACCGAAACCGTTCAAAGGGTAGGGGAAGTTAGTGAAGTTTTCGGTTTCGGGTGATATCTTCGTGATTTTTTTCATAAACACACACACACACACTTGTCTCGCTGGATCTACCCTTTCATAAGAAATTCCCTAATATATATACAATACCTTCTTAAATACGCATACTTTTTTTGGATTGCACAAAAATAATTATTTCTGACAAACTTGTCAATTAACACGCCACTCGGGAAAAAAATTTTTTTGCCCATTTTTTTTCCCAAAGGGCGCATTCCGCTATAATGTCGTCTTCAATATCACCATTCTATCGTCCCGGTGTGTTTCCCGCTCTGTCCTCTCGTCTTCTAACTAGTGCTTCGCAGTCTCTTCGTCTAGCAATTCAATCACAACTTCTCCTTAAAAGCTTCTATAGTTCCCCACTACGTCTCACTGGTCTACCATTAACGACAACCAAAGGGTTCACTTATTTGATAGCTGCTTCATGGCACCCAAAAAGGAAGCGACAGCCTGCCGTTAATTCTATATCGGCTGGTCACGCATGGTGGAAAGAGCGCATGAAAGCGGGGAAAGTTGATGCCGGAGAGGACGCTTTTTTCTATGTTGGGACAGATAGCGGCGTCGCCTTGGGCGTTGCCGATGGAGTTGGTGGCTGGTCTCAGGTATATATTCTCTTTTTTTGCAAACCAGTTGTGCCTTTACTTTTTCCGTGAGTTTTTCCGAACTTCTAATGGATGGTTAAATTGTTCGGAACAACAATAGATGGGGGTGGATCCTGCCTATTTCTCTTGGGCGTTGATGGATAATGCCGCAAGGATTGCAAAGGAATTTAGTGCATCCGAGCTTGCCTTATTCAATGCTCCTGATGGATGTGCTGATATTCTAGATGCCAAACAAGTATTAAGTGGTGCATTTGATAATTTAATAAAAAGTGGAAAAGTTAAAGCAGGTGAGGTTCATTTTCCTCATCTTTCAATTGCGTTGATTGCAAGGGTTTTTTTTTTCTCATTCTCCCTGCTTAATTCCATGTATACACGCACAGGGAGTTCAACGGCCTGCATTCTATCGTTATCAAAGATCTCCGGAATTCTCAATGCGGCCACATTGGGTGACTCGGCGTACCTTATTATTCGTAACGGTCAACTCTATTACGAATCACCTTCCCAACAGCATTTTTTCAATTGTCCCTATCAATTGACCATCGTTCCTGATCATTATCCTAACCAAAAGCTCTATTTCAAAGATAAGCCTAGTGATGCATATCAGGCAAGCCATCAGCTTCAGGATGGTGATGTCATCCTACTGGCAACCGACGG